GGTGGCTGCCGGCACGCCTTGGTTTTTGGCCACTGGATTAGTCAGGATCCCCAGAGAAACAGAATTGATAGGATGTGGATACAGAGAGAAAGACATTGTAACGAATCAGATCACGTGATGATGACGGCGGACAAGCCTTGAGCTCTGCAGTCAGCAAGCTGCAGACCCAGGGCAGCTAATGGAGCCAATTCCAGCTTGAGTCCAAACCTGAAGGCAGGAGGGAACCAACGCTCCAGCTCAGAGGCAGCAGGACAGAGGGAATAACCCTCCCCTCCTCCTGCTTTCTGCTCTATCCCACCCACACTAGGGCGCGCATCTGCTTACTTAGTCCACAGACTCCAATGCTAATCTCATCCAGAAACACCCTCCCAGACACACCCAGGATCGTGTTTGACGGCTATCTGGGCACCTGTGCCCAGCCAAGCTGACACAAAAGCAGCCATCACGCCCACACCTCTCTATTCTCTGCTTGGCTTCCCACCTGCTCCTCCTCATCTTGCCAGTCTCCTCCTGCCTCCCTCTCATGAGAGCACCTGTGATGGCATTTGGGGCCCATCCCCTGACCCAGGATCATCTCCCCATCTGAGGATTCTCACCGCAGACACTTCTGTAAAGACCCCATTTCTAGATGAGGTGACACCCAGAGGGCCCAGGGATTAGAACCGGCCTTCTTTGGAGGTGTCCTTCAGCTTCCTGCCAGGGACCAAAGCACAACCCTGGAGCCCCAGCAAGTGGCTCCAAGGGGAGCAGGTCCAACTTCACAGTGCAGCACTGCCTGGCTGGCCATCAACTCCCCTCCCCAACAGGGCCGAGAAGACAGGACACGGGATCTTGTCTCTAATGAACACAGCGGGGCCTCTCAGCTCTGAATGAGGACAGTGGGCAAACTTTGCGGCCCACAACTTTTTTTTCTGCAAAAGTGAGTGCCCCCTTTTGACTCCAAGGTGTGGGCATACCGACGCTGGGTCACCCGGGCTTTCCAACGAGGCAGCAGATGGTGATGAAGGCGTGGAGAGTCCTTATGAGCCTCACCTGGGAGGAGGGAGGCACCACCTTCCTGAACCCACCTCCCGTTGGCCACACATGCTGCACCGAGTCCTAAAGCCCAGCTACGTCCCGGCATCGGGGGGCTCTGCCTTGCCCACACTCTGACCCGCCTCTAGCTGCTGTAACACCCAGCAGGCCTTGGCTGAGGTGCACCCCAAGCCTAGTCCCTGAATGCTGCTACATCCTCTCCCACCCATGCTACCACCCGTCCGAGTCTCCCACCCGTCAAAGGCCATCTCACCCCAGAGCCGCCTGGCAGCCCCTGGGAATCTCAGCCCTCCAATGCCTGTGTCCTGTCCCTCCAACCTCGAGTCAGGCTCCGGGAGGGCTGGGCCCACTCTGTGTCCTGCAGAGCCGACCTCACTCACCCAACAGACACCGCAGTGAGAGCCACTCCCAGGAGAGGCGGCCCGTCCTCTGCCCTCTGGGAGACTCAGTGCTCCAGGAGGGACCCTCCCTGGTGCTGGTCCTCAGAGGTCTCCCTGCCACATGTCACACGTCCCCAGGCCTTGCTGCCCAAGGGAGGAAGTGTCCTAGACAGCCTGGGGGGTACTGGTCTAGGTGTTCAGCCAACATCTAGACACACCCTCAACCCTCACTCCAACTCAGATCCAACAGGCACTGAGTCCCTAGGCTCTACCTCCCAATAAACGCCCCATCAGGCTATCCTGCACCACCTCCCTCTCCAGGACCTTAATGGGGCTCCCTGCACCCCCTCCACTGTCCATGCTCCCCAGAAGCCTGCAGTCCTGTCCAAACCCTGGGATTCCAGGACATGCATTCCTGACTGCCAAGAGGCTCATATGCTGCCCCACCTGCCAGGGTGCTCCAAACCCAAGGCATGCTCGTGCCTCAGGGCCTTTGCACCTGCTGCTCCCTCTTCCTGCAATGCTCCTCTCCAAACCCAGGCCCAGCTCCTGTATTTCCTCAATCAACTGCCCCTTCTCGGCAGGGCCTGCTGTTGCCCCTTCTCCACGCGAGTCCCTCCTTTGCGCCATCACATCTCACTCCTCACATCTGACTTACAGATTCTGCTGACGGTCTGTCTTCCTGGCTTCTTCCATGCGGAGGCTTCAGCGCCCAGAGCATGGAGGCATAGGGAGGGAGTTCAGTACACTGGAGAGAGGGGCCTGAAGAAACCTGTCCCTGCCCCAGTGTCGGGGGGCTGGGCCACATGGGCGGCTCAGCCCCAACCCAGCTCCATCTGTGCAGACAGCAGCCGCAGGGCAGATCTGAAAGCCAGGGCCTGTGTGCGGGGACGCCGAACCCATACACCAGACATCTAATGAAAGGCTCATTTCACTGGCTTCGTCCGTGTGCATGACAGCATCGCCACATGCCCCCTCTCCAGAGAAAAACAGGCCTTTGTGGGCTATAAATAGCCTGGCCAGATGTGGGGATGCCTGTGGTCTCTTCCCAGGACTCCACATGTGCCCGCAGCTGCACCGGCAGCAGAGGGTTGACGGGTGGGCCTCCCCCACCCCAGGGGACAAGGCTGAGCTTCATCAAAGCATGTGGACGCGCAGGCTCTGCTCACCGCCACGGGCAGGGCACGGCGGAAGCGGAGGTCAAGCTGCAGACGGCCTGTCTCTATGCACAGAAAACAGGGAGACGAGGCCTGGAGAATGCGTAATCCATTCAAGGAGGGACAAGCTCATCAAAGCAGAGCTGGGTTCCCGTGGGGAGGAACCAGTCTGAGTGGGGCACCCATGTCTTCGACAAGCAAAAGAACAGCAGCACTTACAAGGGCTTGAAGGTCCTCTCAAACCAGGTATGTCTGTTACTAATCGGGGCCTCCCAACCACAGGGCTGGGCCCCGAAGGGAGGGCAGCTCCACGCCGAGCTCCCAAGAAGCATCCAGTTCTGCTTCCGACAAGCACCAGCTGAGCTGCACATGTGAGCCCCGTGAGTGATTTCTGACGTTCCTCGAAGTCACGTCCAGAGTGAAAACAAAGGCGAAGTCTGAATAAGGTACTCTACTTAACCCAGTCCAAAGCCAGAGCACTGTCACTCCAACACGAAGACAACCGTCACAAACGGGCTATCCCACAGCCCGAGGCCAGGCTGCGGCCTCCTGCCTGCTGTGTGTACACACTCACAATGCTGCCTGCTCTGTCCAGCCACGGGTGGTGGCAGCCACCCACGCCGTCTTCACAGACTAACAGCTCAGACCACTCACCACTGGTCAGACCAGAGCCCCCAGGGCCCTGACCCCCATGGGGGGTGGTTCTGGTAGCTGTCCAGGTGACAGCCTCACGGGGCGCAGCCGGGCCTCTGGCATGCAGAAGTCACCAACTGCCTTCCCAGGGTCGCTTAACTACATCTGCAGCCAGCTGCCCTGTTCTCAGCTCTGCAGGATGCTGAAAGCCACCTGCTGAAAACAGAACATGCTTCCGATGGCTGGGCACCCGCCTCACGCCCCTGGAGCCCCGTCGCGGGGGCAGCGCGCAGGTGGTACACTGGCAGCACACAGCCTGGGACGTAGGCAGGCGCTCCGCCACCCCTACACGCACGGCGGCGCCCTTCTGCATGTTTTCAGCATAAGCGTGTCCGGACTTGGAGAGTTTGGGTCTCCAAGAAAGTCGCAGGTGAGACAGAAATTTACATCCCGTGGTTCTCCAACTCTGCAGACGGACGTCCACGGGAACCGTCCTGAGAGACCGCAGAGCCCCTCGCGGCCCCTCCCGTCCCACGCGCCGGGCGCCGGGCGCCGGCCCTGCAGTGGGCCCCCTGCCCACCTCCGAGCCGAAGCCAGGCCTCCCGGCCCACCCGGCCCTGCCCTCACGGCGGACACACTCCCAGCGGTCACTGCTCACAGGGGCTGACGCAGGCCCAGGGGTGCCGGAAGCGTGGAGCTGCCCCGTGCCCACACGGAGCCCAGTGACGCAGCTCCTCCTAAGAACCACGCACTGGGAAAAGGGCAATCCCTTCGATGGCTGGTTCCCACTTCAGTGCGAGTTCTAGAGTAGGTTTCAATCTTCCTAAGCATTTCACTTTAAACTGCCTTTTGTAAGCACATTATTTATACTGTGAAAGGTAAAGCCACGCAGCCTGACGGGCTTTCTGGGGGAGGAGGGAGTAGCTTAAATACCCTACACACCGAAAACAAAGTCCCTCCTGGAAACTCCTCCTAATGCGGACAGGTCTCAGGACTGGCCGAAAGGGGCTGCAGGTCTGACGTGGCCACGCCCTCCCAGCTCTGGTGAGTGACAGGCACGCCCCTGCCAGCACCCTCACACCAGGCCTCCCACCACCTCCTGGGCTGCACCCTCAGCACCAGGAGTGCTCTTGGCCCGGTCCTGGCCCTTTAGGAAGCTGATGCTTAGGCTGCTGGCCCCCAACCCAAACAGAGAGACCACGGCCTCTGCAGCCCTCTCTCTGGCTCAGCCAACTCCACAGAAGCTCCCTGTGTGGCCCCTGAGCAGAAGACGGTCCCTCCAGGCCACAGCACGTGCTGGAGACGCTCAGTCAGAGCTTCCAACCCAGCTGAAATCTGACCGCAGCTCACAGCAGCTGCAGGGGGTGAGGCTGAAGGACACAGAGTGAGACTCGGCCCACCTGCGGGTCTCTGACGGCGGAGAGGGACAGAGAGCAAGGCGGCCTGCAGCCTGTGCTCATGCCAACAAGGGCCATGGCCCCGCTCTGCAGCCCCAACCCGCCCCCCTCCGACTTGGGGAAGCCAGTGCTGACCCCTGAGCACCCACTCAGGGGCCTGCACCCCCAGCACTGCCTTGTGGGGCCTTTCCCCCTCGCCACACGAGGAACCAATGTCTCTGTGGCCATAGCCCCTCCGGCAGATTGTGAACACTTGGGCAGAGTTTTCCGAAACCCACCCTCCATCTCTGCTCCCAAATCAGCTGGTGCCTGCAGGGGAGGAACCCACGGAACTGCTGCCTGATAGGCTGGACTGTCACCCACAGACCCACACTCTGCAGGCAGACTGCTGCCCATACCTGGTGGTCGGTGTTGGGGTGTGGCCTCTTCATGCAGTCTGGTGATGGCAGAGTCTGAGACAGAATAAAAAAGGGTATGGTTAGCTAGGCAAAATGCGAGCCAGAATCCTTTATCCAACCTTCCCCCCGGCCATCCCCCCAGACTAAACAGCTCAGTCACATAACAGGCCAAGTCATGGGGTGCAGCTCACCTGGCCAGGTGAGCCCAGATGCCACATCAGCATGAACTGGGCGCGGAGGGCGTCGTCTGCACCCTGATCCCATCCGCACCCAGGCCTAGCTCACGTGACCCACGCATGCCGCGTGTGGGCTCCTGTGGGCACGGAGGGAGTCGGGACAGGTCGGAACCTGCCAGCAACGGTGTGAGTGATGATACAGTCAGAACACAGAACCACCTGTTCCCACAGCTCCTCAATCGGCCCGATTTCAAACCACGTCGGGGAAAAATGCTGGTGTCTGAGCTTGATATTTCAACAGCACGGAAGTTTTAAAGCAAAGATGGACTTAAAATCAAAGTCGGAAGAAGAGGAAGAGGGGGAGGGGAAGGAGTCAGAGAGCAAGATGGGAAGAGACTGCAAATGCCCCGGAGTCTCGAGGCTTCACAACCTTAGCGGCCTGACACTGCTCAGCTCAGGCTCCTTCCTTCCCTCCACAGACCCCGGGGCTCGGGGAGGCGGGGGGTCGGGGGAGAGGCGGTGAGCCCCCGAAGCCCCTAACAGGGTCCCACTGCGCAGCTCCTGCAGGTGCCCCTTCTGTCCCTAGAATGACTCCTGAGCGCAGCAGGTCCCTTCCATCGTCACAGCCCAGCTCACATGCAGCCTCCCCACGAGAGGGCCTCTAGAAGGGGGCCCCTAGCAGTGAGGTTCCGTGGGGAAGGACTGGCCAGGGCGGCCCAGCTGGGGTTTGAGGACTGAGGAGCCTAGAGCACAAGGATCACCCAGACGGCGAGGAGTCAACCTTGGGGACAGACCTGCGGGGCTGCTGCCTGCAGAATTCTGCTGGGCAGCCTGGAGTGCACCTGCCCGTGGCTGGCGGGTAAGACATCCTGGTCCCTGTGTCCCACAAAAGGCTCACTACACATGACTTAGACTCAGAGAATCCCCTCCCCTGTCCACTTAGGGCGAGACAAGACTCAGACCCGCACGCTCGTCCCCGAGCCTCCTCCGTGATGAGCTGAACAGCACATCCCCCGAGATCAATGGAAACAAAATGCTGGTCACCCACACTCTGGTTCACTCCTTCCCCCAGGACTCCTGGACCCACCGCCAGGCTGAGGGCCCGAGGGCCCCAGGAACAGACCCGCCTCAGGAGCACATCCTCTAGTGACTGCCCCCACCCGGGCCCTGTCTACACCTCCCTACGACGGACGACCCAGTGCCCGGCCTCCACATGTTGGCTGATCTCATGGTACACGTCCCCCTCAACGGTCCCCTCTGACGAAGCCTCTTCTTACTACGCCCGTACTCGTTTTCCATCGGACAACCGATTACACGTGACTTGAAGCCCCAACACCAGACGACGAAGGCTCAGTGGCCAGATGAGACCTTGGATCCCCACCTTCCTGCAGACTCACGAGGTGGCTCGGGGTCTCACCAGTACAGGTCATGGTACAGACGGGCTGGGTCAAGGGAGAGCTCAGGGGCATGTCTGACACCCCATGTCACAGCTGCTCCTGGGGCCCGTGGGCGGGAGAAACAGAGGCCACCTCAGAGGAAAACCAAGCCTGGGCACTGGCCATGTCCAGACCCACCTGCCCCTGGAGACACTCTCCCCCCGGAGGCGGGCAGGACACAGCCACAGGGGGTACCCAGGACGCCTCTCCCCACGCCTGCAGGGACCACGCCCACCGCCTGGCAATGCCCCAGGCCTGCTCGCGGGGCTGCCGCCGAACTGACCGAAGAGTTTTTCTGAAAGTGCCGCAGCGGACACGTGGGATGGGATGTTCTCAACTGTAACGAGAAAAACACACACAAAGCAAGAGGCCGTGCTCCGCCTACAGAATTCACAAGGAAAAAGGACCGGCTTGTGGGCCAAGGTGGGCGCCTTGCTGTGGGCAGGACGCCTTCCCGAAGCAGGCGGCGGGGTGACGGGGACCTCACCGAGACCCACGTGGCACCGCTGTGGGAATGACAGGAACCGGGGCAGGAGACAAGGAGGAGTTCTCGTCCCTGCAGACTCGACACGGCGAACATCCCAGAGAGGGCTAATAAATGAGGGTGCAGAGAAGGGCAGACGGGCACCCAGGCATGGGCCGTGTCTCTGGACCCGTGCTCCGGAGCAGACTGCTGCGGTTCGGAGCCACCCCTCAGCCGACCAAGGACACAGGGGGGAGACCCCCCACCCTGCAGGAGACACGGCAGCACACGAGGAACGCGTCACAATGAGCCTCTCACAGCTGCATCCGCCCAAGTCTTCTCCCACCCCGGAGGGTGGCAGAGACGGTGGCGTCCGAACATCTATAAGCCCGGGGCCCTGGGTGGCCGGGGGTCGACGGGCCTCTTCGGTAGCACATGAGCCAATGGGGAGGACACGTTCAGCACAGTGCTCTTCCTGGCAGCTGACTGCACGTGGCTCGGGTGAGAAGGGCCCTCCTCAAGCTTCGCTGAGACCCAAACTGCAGAGCGAGGGCTGAACTGCTGACCAGCCCCCGACGCGCCCCAGGCAGAGCCGTCAGGCCAAACCTGACAACCTGACTTCTCACGAGGACACATGTTGGGGCATCTCTAACTTCACTCCAGACCTAGATGCCTGACAACTCACGGGAGTCAGGATCATCGCCCATGCTCTTTATGATAGGATAACCTACCGCATGGGTTTCTGCAGAGGAGGGAGTCCCTGGGGAGGGGTCCCCACGTCCTTCCCTACAACACTGATGTCAGCGGCCACAAGCAGTCATCCCATGAAATGTGGGGGCGTTTCTCCTCTGTGGATACCTACGTGATGCAAAAGCCCTGTTTTCTTTACAAAACAGATTTATCTGTGAAATGATGACGTATTAAATGTGAAGGAGTGAGAATGCCCCAAAATGCCAGTCTACAGGAAACAACAAATGCCCTTCACTCCAAAGCGCCAGCCAGTGACATCCTTGGGGAACGCTGTCCACAGCCAAGGCGGGACCAGCTGCAGCCTGTTCGGAGTTCAAGTTCGCATGAGGCTCACACCAGCATCCTTCCGCCAAGCCGCCCAGGCCTCCTCTCCCCAGGCCTGGGTTCCTCTCCGCTCAGCAAGGCCTCCTGGGGGCTTTCCACGATCTAACCCTTACCTGTCTCTTTCGGCTCAAGGTCACACTGGTTCTTTGCTGCTGCTGGTTCCGGGGAGCAGGGATGGAGGGGAAGCAGGGTCACTGACAACAAGGCTCAACCCTGCTGGTCCCACTACAGTCAAGGCCCATGTGGGAGACCGGCCAGGACTCAGGCCATTTATGGGTTCAACCTTCACAAAGTGGAGGCTTTCAATCACACCTCCCACTTCAGGTGCCAGGGGTCCACAACCCTTTGGGGACAGGGCAGGCTAAGTCCAGGCCCTCACCGCGGGGACCGACTTCTGTGGGCGAGGGTCCTGCCCCCTGAGCTGAGGGTGACAGCTCTAACATCGCCTGCTTGCTCCACACTGAACGGGCCTTCTTTCTGTGTTCAGTGTGTTCTGTTCTTGGCACCAGGCCCTCTCCACAGCTGTCCACACCTCACGAGCTCCACAGGGCCCCGGACACACGAGCATTAATCAGGGCCCAGCGTGCCAGCCCGGGAGACGGCCGTGCTGAGCGTCTCACCCAGGAGCCCCATCCTGGCACAGACGCGTGGGCAGGGCTCACCCCACTGTCTTCCATGACCCCCCTGCCGATGGAGGGCAGACAGGAGGCGGCGCCGGGGCCCCGACAACCAAGCACTGCCCAGTGGGAAGGGCCGGCCGCTCAGACAAGGGTGACGGTGGTTAGAAGGTCATTTGAAAAAGTCTGTTTAAATGCTATTTGACTCATTATTTGTGAGGAACCAATGAGATGTTACCATCCGTTCGGAGGAGAAGTCTAAGAACCAAGAAATGAGGAGGTGCCGCTGGGGGGAGAACAGGGTGCCTGACGGGCAGGGGTTTCCTCTGGGGGCAACGAAAATGTCCCGGAACTAGACAAAGGTGGTGGTCGCACAGCACTGGGGCCACACGAAACGCTACTACATGGTCACTGCAGCTGCCTCATTCAGCTACGTGAACTTCGGCTCAGTGTCGAAGACGCGGCGGAGGGACACTGAGGTGGATTTGCAAGGAGCACACTGCTGGCTTTTTCCAGGGACAGAATCATTTGCATGTCTCCAGACACGACTGTCTGCATGGCTGACCAGGATGACAAACTACAGCGCTCCTGGAAGACAGAGAACCCGAGACTCCACCCTTCACTCCCCAGCCCAAGGTCGAAGGGGGGGCGGCTCTGAGATTTAGGAGGAAGGGGCCGGGCCCAGGGAACAGTGCAGTGACGAAGAGCAAAGAGGTGTCCAGAGGGGCCCTGTGTCTCCAGAGGGAAGTGGGGCAGCAGGGGGCCGAGGAGCTGGGAGTGAGGGCGTCTGCCCCTGACAGAGGGTAAGGAACGGGGTCCCCAAGCATGGCCATCCAGCGAGAGGCCCAGCGGTGTCTAGCAGCCCGTCCGCTGTGGGGCGTCCCTGGCAGGGCTGCAGCCGTCAAGGCAGGCACCAAGGGGGCCAGGTGCTGACCGATATGGTGGGAGAGACGCCCCCTTACTCAAACAAAATCATGGCGATGGCTCAGATCTGTGAAAAATAAGGAGCAGCGACACCAACTCCCTTTCAGAAATGCCTTTTCTTTCTGCCAATATAGACTCTGCCCAGGCTCCTCCAACAGCATCAGAAACCCTAACGCCAGGGAGAGGGGCCGTCCCTTGTCCTTCTCTGAGAGAGAGGGCTGCCCGCGGGGGCCCAGGTCTCCACATGCACCGACCCTCCCAGGGGGGTGCACCGCTCACACAGGCTGACCCCGTGCAGACGTCCTGCAGAGGTCGGAGTGTGCCATTCTGCAGAGGACCACACTTACCCAAGAGGCTGCCCAGG